TGTTCCGGTAAGCAGGCCACAGGTGCCCCTGCAACGCTATTTACAGTCCAAACTGGCTCTCTGTCTCACAGATGGGGCGAGGGGAAGGGTCACCCCAGGCCAGGCCAGGTGACCATAAACCCTAAGCGTGAGGCTTACGGTGTCTGAGCACAAATTCCAGGAGGACAGAATCTGGGTTTGGGGTCAGGTTACGAAGGAGAGAAGAAAGACGAGAGCCCTGACAGGACGGTGTTTCTTGGTCAACGCTGGCCGGTCAACCCGCCTGCACCACCCCAGGAAGGGTCTTCTGCTGCCCCCCTGCGCCGCCTGCGTCCGCGGCCCACCCCTAACGCGGAGGGAAACTGCACAGCGACCTCTCAGGAGAAGGTGAAGCTAACGTTTGTAGAGACACGTTGAAAAGCCGTGTGGATTAACCACGCTGGTGGTGGATCCCTTCAGAACCTCCCCGAGCCGCGCTGGGATCCTGGCGTCTGCAGCCGAGGTGCCGCTCTCTTATTCTCGAGGGTGGATGCAGCCAGTTCCTCATGTCCTTCCGATCCCCTCCCAGTCTGCGCTCAGGCCTCCCTCAGCAGGATAAATGACCTTTTATTTCAGCAGGATAAATGACCCGCCCCTGCGGCCCGAGCTGCAGTCCTGGCGCTGGCCTTGCGCTCAGCTGCCTGCGGTGTGACTTCCTGTCGAGGCCCTGTCAGCTCCCTTCGGGCCGCCTCGACCGAGGGGACGGGTTTTGGGGAAAACCAAATAAGAGGGGGCGTGGGTGAAGTAGCAGCAGGCAGCCGTCCGGGAATTTAGCTCGGGTGCTTCTGAGCTGAAAGGATTGCTGATTTTCACCTGTCTGCATGTTCTTAAAAAGAACAACAGGGCATTGTTTTAAGATGTCACCACACATCTGTGCGTTGCTGCACTTGTATTCTGCTCTTGGCAGCCCCCCGGGGAGGTGGCAGAGCGCACGCAGGGCCGGGTCCCTGCTGCCCTGCGCCTGCAGCCAGCCGGCAGTGCGGCCCGACTGCGCATCACCCGGTCAGGCCCTCCTCGCCTAGCAGCCGGTGCCACTCACCCCCCAGTTCTTCACTCGCCCGCTGCTGCGTGTGGCTGGGCTGCAGCCCTGACCAGCTATTAGGCATTCATTTCTAACAGGGCTAACACTTAACAATTATTTTTGCCAGAAATGAAGGCCCACCTCACCATCCTGGGGTCGCAGAACACACCCTTCTCTCTGCGAAGCATGTCAAGAATTACGTTCATTAAAATCTTTTCATAATGACATCCTTGCTATCAGAGGGCACGGAGGTGATTGACCTTGGCATCTGGGATTAAGGCGGCATTATTTTTCTTGATTACCAGCAGCAGAATAGAAGGGAAATTATAAAGCCATTGAGAGGATTAATACAGCCTCGATCTCTCTCTCCTGGCTCTTTATCTCAAGTGATTAAAATTCTGCAGGAAAAAAAAAACGGTCATGTGGCACACGCCGGCTGCCACAGACAGATACAGTATCAGCTCCGTTCATCAGCTCGGTGACAGCCGCGCAAAGGTTAATTATGCATGCTGTATATAGTTTTAATCACTTTAATCAGAGCACTGTTCCGCTACAGACCAGGCTGTAACTTTTCTACAGGCAGGGGAAGCAGTGCAGGCAAGGCGGTGTTCGTGCAGGAAAAAAGAGAAGAAAAAGGGTACATTCACCACAAAAAAGAAACATGATGCAAAAGCTACTGACTGAACAACAAGATTAAGGCGGGTGTCCATCCTTAACAGGCAGGGAAGGGTGAAGGGAGGCTGGAGGGGCTGGGAGGTGAGGCCGACTTCGAATCTTCTCCGCTCCAGTTGTGAGGCACAGCCTGGCACCTGGTCCAGGAGGCAGGCTACGGCCTCTGCACCCATCGAGCACTGTGGCTGCAGGCAAACGGCTGAGCTCCCAGGCCTGTGTTGCTGGCTGCTGCACCATATAATCTCACAGGCACTTCTAATTCCCTGCCACGTTCCCTGATGCAAAGTGCACAATTCCTTATTGTACCGCCACCTTTACCCAAATAATAACTTGTGCTAAACGGTTCATATCTGGTTTCTGGCCAGCATGTACAGCAACGTACCTTCAGTTACATGCTTTTGCATACTGCCGTGTTTTGCCCTTACAATTTCGTGGTCTGGTTTCACTGTCAAAGAGTAAGAATATTGAGAGCTTTTTCAGTGCTGTGGATAATCTAAAAACCAGGCAAGTTACTACACACAGAATACTGAGAATTAATCGCCCCCAGAGAAGCACAGAGGAGGGGAGACCAATTGGGTACATCCTCTCAAAGAGAAATTATTGACTGTCTGATGTAAAGGTCACAGTTTAAGGAATACGCAGGACAATTATACATTTTTCATTATGGTCACCTGTATTAGAAAATGTTAATAAAAATTTTTTTTGTTCTTGACCTGGGTGGTGATTACACAGGTGTGTTTACTCTGTACCAATTCATTCAGCTGAGATTTTTATACGTTTCTGTATGCATGTTATACTCTTCTATTAAAACAACTTAAATGTCACAGGGCAGCCCTGAGGTTAAGAGAAAAATAATATTTCATCTAGGAGTAGAAATGATGACTATTCCAAGATGAGGAGGCAGGTGACAGGAAGTGACAAGGAGGATTTAGGACACTGTCCAACCCTCTGACTTCAGATCTCACTTTGCTCATCTCTAAAGAGAGATGCTTCTCCAGGACGGAACTTAAGACCCCACTATGATTCCGATGAGCACAGTTTTAATAGTCACTACGACCAAAGGATTCGGTTTGCAGTTAAAAGCTTTTATTTTTTAGATAAGTGAATTTTTAAAAACTTTAATATGAAAAAAATTTTTTTAAATATGCTATTTGATTTTAGGGAGAAAATGTGAAGAAGATGCTCTCACTTATCGAAGAATACAGAAATATTTTATTTTATTCTAAAACTCTCAAATGTGGAGATCTGAACGCTACATGTGTTTAATGGGAGTGTAACTTACAGCAGCCTTTCCAAGTGAACTTGATAATATGTCACATTTAAAATATGCTTTCCTTCTGTCCGGCAAATCCACTTCTAAAACTGTTTTCTAAGAAAATAACCATATATGTATGAAAAGACATACGTATAAGGAAGATCACTGCAGTTCACTGGAAGGAAGCTAAGTGTCCACTGATGGACATTATTCCAAATTTATTTAATTTGGAAAATCCATATAATGACATTCTATGATGATGTTATATACTGACATGGAAACATGTCTCTGATATAGCATTAAGTGAAAAGGAGATTAGAAAACATTGTATTTCATATAATACCATTCCTGTACCTATTTGCATATTTTCAAAAAAAATCTGGAAGGATATACCTCCAAAGTTGACAGTGGCTGATCCTCTATGATAGCATACAGGGGATTTTACATTTCTTTTTCTTACTTTTTCTGTATTCTCTCACTTTTTCATACTTTTATAGCCATAATTAAAATGGGAAAATCACCTAAAGATTCCTAATTGGAAAACAGAGAGAAGTCTCCATCAGATATAGTTCACGTCTCTAATGGATTAACCAGCCCCCAAATGCCATGGACGCAGGCAGGCACACAGAGGTCGGAGGCAGCTGAGGAGCATTTGCTCTTGATCTCTTTGAGATATCTGACATCCAACAACGCCATAACAGCTACCTTCTGCTGAGGGCCTACTGTGTGCAGGGAGCCACTGTCCCTCAGTTAATCCTCATAACAGCTCTGCCAGACAGAGATTATTGTCCCCACACCTGGAAGAAACCAAGGCTCAGAGAGGCTGAGTGCAGGGACAGTAGAGAAGGGATGATGCCCAGCGGCTCGAGGCCACAACAGCCTAAGGGTTAGGGGCTCTCTGATAGGTCAGGGGACCATTCTGATTAGCCAGAGTTCATTCTGATTGGTTAGGACCTGTTCCTGGCTGGCATTGGAATCTAGTTCTCTCTACTTCCGAAGCTGGATCTTTTAACTGTGCCGTTTCATCTAGGAACACGCTACCTCTCAATCTAAGAATTAAAATTTACACATAAGACCAACGGGAGGACAGAGAGAGAGGTTATTTACCTCACCCAACAAGTCTTTGTGTCACAGAAAGAACAATGTGTAATTTATTTTTACCAATCCCTGTTAATATTAAGATATATTTCAACCCCCCGAAATTGTTTTGGGGACACAGAGTAAAGTATTAAAATGCTAAGGTTTGCTGAATGCAGCTCAGTATCTATCTCCCACCTTAGCTACTTCACGGGGAAGCATGGTCACTTATCTTGATTAGGAGCGCCACCATGTCAAGAGAAAGGAAGTATCCATGTTCCTTTAAAAAAGCCTTTCCTTTGGCCACTGCAGATCCACTATAGCATTGTATTTTGAGTTTTGAAATCCGAAATGTCGTCTTTAGCATCTTAGAGTTGAAGTACCTTAGGAGGCTACGAGTCACCTATGTCACATTTTAAAATTGTAAAAGTAACATCCAGAGGAAAGGTAATGTCCTGCAACCAGTTACTAAAAGCATCCATTCTCTTAAATAGAATAAGTGATGATAAGAGGATGATAATACTGGATTCTTCCTGTCTTAGTTCTGTTGAGGCCCCAAGAAATTGAAGTAATGATTCCTTCCGTATCCCACAGTGTGAGATCTCAAAACCAGACCTGCAACATTGGATGTAAAAAATCTGTTCTGCACCTTTCAGCTGCAGAAACCTGTTCTGCAAATTTGCAACCTAAAGGAGACTGGGGAAAGTAGCACCAAAAAAGCTGGAGATTAGAAAAAAATTTTGGAGAAAGTTATCAGAATGCTGGGAATCTAACCTTTATGCCAGTTCACCTCAAGTCAAGCGACTGGGGCTGCAGCAGACCCCCGGCAGAGTCTGGTCATGCGTCCCTGGCAATTTGAGGGTAAACAACAAGCTGGTGTCCAGCTCACATCAGCCCAGGCGAAAGGACGGGAGAAAGTGCCTACAGTGCAAGAGCTGCCCCTGGGAATGTAACCACCCTCCCACTCCTGGCAGTGTGGAAGTTTCCCATGGATCGTGTACGAGCCAATGTGGCATCGTCTTGGACCTTGCCCAAGAGAACTGCCTGGAAAGTGAAAGAAGGTAGCAGCGGGTACCTAGGGGCTAAGGAAGGGAACACCAGGACCTGCAGGCTGGAGGAGGTGCATTCTTCCATATTAAGGGATCTATAGCTGAAGATTCCCAACATGAATTGGTCTCAGGATTCACAAGGGCTCTCATGGGAGAACTTCGCTTTTTTAAACACCTATGCACGTTCAAGAAAGTACTAGTCAAATAAGAACCTTCCTGCACCCTCTTTATATCCCTTCCCCAACCCAACCTCTAGTCAATCTTTCCTTCCTCTGTCCGCAAGTCCGCAGACGGGGAGGGTTGAGCTAGCTGGGAGACAGAGAGAGGAGAAACAGAAGTGGGGAAATGGGAGAAGCCAGCCACGAACCCCTTTCCCACTGCAGGTTGCCTGTTCCACACAAGCCTGAAAAGAGCAGGGGGAGCGAAGAGCTTCCAGAGCGTTTCCTGTGCGTTCTGTCAGTGTAATTTCTGAACTGGGGATTATCTGCGGTATTAAAGGGAGGGAAGGAGTGTTTATTTTTCTGACAGTGACTTGGAAGGTAAATGGTAGAAACTGGATATCGTACAACTCTGGTGTCAGCTCCTACACGTAAAGAGCGCCACCTCCACGATTAGAACAAGAAAAATGCTGGACGAAGCGCAAACTAATGACTTTTCTTGAAACTGCCAGAGAGCTGAAGCTGCAGGGCCCTGTGAACCTGGGGCTCAGGGTTGTGGCCCTAACAGGTGTCCCTGTTCCTCCCCTATGTGCCATGCTGGCCTGGCATGTGTTTCTGTCTCTCCCCCAGAGGCAGAGCCCCCGACCCGACTAGGTTCCACAGTGTTCTCCTGCTACAGTTTCGTTGCTCTTTCACATGAATAGTAAGGCTTTTGTTTTTTAGGGGGATTAGAGGAGATGGGTATGGGAAGCATTGATGGTGACTGCCATTTGCCTCTTCCGGCTGCTGTAGGTTTCCACCAGTGCCTAAAGGCTGTGGTTGTGCCGTCCTTCCCCCTGCAGGTGAGGGGTTTTGTTCTTGCGGGAATAGAAGAGATGGGTCTGGGCAGAGTTTCAGCAGCAGCTGCTGTTCTTCTCCCCCCGCCAGCCCCAGGAGGGGAGCTTTCTTAAGACTCCCGTCGACCTTCCCTGTGAGCGCCCTGTAGGGCTCTGGAGGAAACTCTGCGCTAGGCTGTGAGCGCCTGCACGCCTGTGGCCCTTAGGGCTGCACAGTCGCACCAGGCCACACTTGACCGTAAACAATTGATCACAACTTGCAGCTGAATCTTCCTGTGGGCTTCAGTCCTGTCCAGTGGCGTCTGTCCCAGGTAAGCACTGCAATGCTCGGGTACTGTTTCTCCCTGGAGGTGCCTGTCTCTTTCTAGATTTGGAGTTAGTTGTTTGCCCTGCAGCTTCAGTTCTCTGGAACTTGAATACACACAAAGAAACAAAGAGCATCAGCAAAGAAATAAATGAAGGTAAATTAAAATACTTTTCTTTCTTTAAAATTAATTAATGAAATATTTTTGGCTGTGTTGGGTCTTCATTGCTACACGTGGGCTTTCTCTAGTTGCGGCGAGCGGGGTCTACTCTTCGTTGCGGTGCACGGGCTTCTCATTGCGGTGGCTTCTCTTGTTGTGGAGCACGGGCTCTAGGCGTGCGGGCTTCAGTAGTTGTGGCTCACAGGCTCAGTAGTTGTGACCTGCGGGCTCTAGAGCGCAGGCTCAGTAGCTGTGGTTCACGGGCTCCAGAGTGCAGGCTCAGTAGCTGTGGCTCACGGGCTTAGTTGCTCCGCGGCATGTGGGATCTTCCTGGACCAGGGCTCGAACCTGTGTCCCCTGAATTGGCAGGCAGATTCTTAACCACTGCGCCACCAGGGAAGTCCTAAAATACTTTTCTTATTTTTAAATTATGCAAAAGACTACTGACTGTTTAAAGCTGTAATGGTAAGAATGTATTGTGTGTTGTAGCATATTTAAAAGTAATATTATGATGATAATAGTAAAAGAGATGAGAGAGAAGAATTGGAAATGTACTGTCAAAAGATCTTTATCCTATACATGAAACAGTATAACACTGTTTGAAGGTAGATTCAAATTATTTTCAAATGTGTATTATAAACTCTATAGCAGTCATGATAAGAGTTTTCAGAAAAGAGGTACAGAGTCAATGAAACCAAAAGTTGTTTTTTTAAAAATATATATAAAAAAAGTAATAAAGTCTAGGCAGGATGATTGAGAAAAGAGAGAAGACACAAATTACAAATACTGAAAAGAGAGAGGGAACATTACTACTGATACCATATATACTAAAAAGATAATAAAGAAATGCCACAAACAATTCTACACCAAGAAATTTGATAACTCAGATGACAAGGACTAACTCCTTGAAAGAAACAAGTTACCAAAGCTCACTCAAGAAGAAAAACATAACCTGAATAGTCATATATCTTTTTTTTAATGCTTATCATATTAATTTCATTTAAAACTTAAAACAAAGCGTACTTCAAAACACGGCACGGCATATTATCACAAATAAAGGTGGACATTTTATGAAGACAAAAGTATTAATTCATCAAAAAAGTCATATATGTATTAACAAAATTATATTTGTAGTTGAAACATTTAAAAATAAAATGAAACAAAATTCCAGTCCCAGATAGTACCAGTGGTGAAATCTTCCAAACACATCAACTCTACAAAAAACAGAAGGGAAGGGAAGACTTCTCAACTCATTGTATGAGGCCAGCATTACTCCAATACCAAAGCTAGGTAAACACATTACAAGCAAAGAAAACTACAGATGAATACCCTTCATGAATATAGATGTATATATTCTCAACAAAATATTTAAAACTTGAATACAGGAATATAAAAAGTGTACAAAAGAAACATACATCATTACCAAGTGGAGTTTATCCCAGGATTGGAAGGTGGGTTCAATGTTGAAGAAAAACAGTCAATGTAATTCATCTTATTAACAGATTAGATAAGAAAAACCATATGAACATCTCAATAGATGCAGAAAAAAAGAATTTAATAAAATTCAACGTTCATTCATGATAAAACTCTCAAAAAATGGTAAAAAAAAAAAAAAAAAAAAAAAGGGAAGTTTCTTAACCAAACATAGGATATCCACAAAAAACCTACAGCTAACATCATACTTAACAGAGAAAGACTGAGGACATTTAAGGTCAGGAATAAGGAAGGGATGTCTTCTCCACCACTCCTATTCAACAGCCCATTCAATCCTAACCTATACAGGAAGGCAAGAAAAGGACGTAATACAGATTGAAGAGAAGGAGAGAAAACTGTCTCTATTTACAAATGAGATGCCCTGTCTATGTGGAAACTCTTAAAGAATTTATAAAAAAGCTCCTAGAATAAGTGAGTTTCACAAGATGACAAGGTACCAGATCAATCTGTGAAAGTCAATTGTATACCTGTATATCAGCAATAAACAATAGGAATTTGTGGGGAAAAAAGAACCCACCACTTACCCTAGTACCAAAAACGAACAGAAAGAAAAGAAATACATAGGTATAAATCTAACAAAACTTGTGCAGGATCTGTATGCTAAAAGCTATAAAACACTGATGAAGGAACTCAAAGAACACCTAGATAAATGGAGAGATATACCATATTCATGGAAGATCAACGTGGTGAAGATGTCAAAGTCTCTCAAGTTTGACCTATAGATTCAATTCAATACCAAATAATCTCTTCAAAATACCTGACCCTTCCAAAATGTCAAGGTCATGAAAAACAAGGAAAGAATGAGAAACTTTTACAGATTGGAGAATAAGGAGACATAACAACTAAATGCAACATGACAGCCTGGAGTGGATACTGCAGCAGAAAAAGGACCTAAGTGGGAAAACAGGTGAAATCTGAATAAACTCTGTAGGTTAGTTAATGGTACTATACTAATGTTAATTTCTTAGTCTTGATAAATGTATTATGGTTACAAAAAATGTTAATGTTACGGGAAACTAGATGAAATGTACACAAAACTTTCTGTACTAACTATGTAATTCTTCTATAAATCTAATATTATTTAAAATTAAAAGTTTAGTTTCTTTTAAAAAAAGGTAATAGCACCTGCTGGAGATTTCTCCCAAGGGGTCAGGGAAAGACTGGTCTAAGGAGAATGTCTTGAAATGACAGTGAGAGACAAGAATTAAAGATATTTATTTAAAAGCTATTGCATCCTTCTATGTCCAACTTGTCCAGTGTAACAGTTACGCCCTCACTGAGCACTTATTTTATTCCTGATAGCTGTCAACTTCCCCCAGAGACTGGCACATAAGGTCAGCTGCCTTAGCTTAAACGGGACAAAGAGCTGTAAAAATGAGAGGTGGCAATCAACTGATATATTAGAATACATTTATAGAATAAGAGAGTTAAGTTTAACATATCAAAAACTCATAGAAACTCTGGCCTCTAGATTGTAATATCTTTATGGAATCTTCAAAGCAAAGCATTATACAGCTTTACATAAACTTTTCTGAGTGCTGACAAAGGCTCTGTATTAAAGAATAATGCATTTTTAAATGCCCTCTATTATTTTGATCATTTTTACTTCTAATGACACAACGACAATATGTACTCCATTTACACTGAACCTTTCACGTTACACTCAGATGGATGATCCGGAATAAATCCGTGAGACACTTAAGTTGTAATACTCAGGGAATGATAAATATCCGATGGCATTTCTTTCAAATAAAATTACTTAAACAGCATTTTCTTCTTCTACCCCGTGGGACCACAGGAATCCACGTGTGATTTGTTAAAGGTTGCATGCGATGAGCTATGTTAGCTTCTGGTCTGAACTGTCCATGTGAGCCCTTCTCCCTTCTCCTGGGCAGCATGGCACTCCCAGGTCCAGGTGACTGCCCGAGACAGCCCATGTCCTCCTCCTGGTGAGGTCTCAAAATCT